AGGTATAAATTTAGACAAACACTGTAATTGGAAAGATCACGTTGATAAAGTTTGTTCTAAAATATTTAAATTTAATTTTGCTTCAATCTCGTCAAGAAACACCTCTCTTATAGCATATCATGCATATGTTGCTGCTGTATTAAGATGTGGTCTCATATTATGGGGAAACTCGACAGATGTGAACCTTGCTTTTGTAGCGCAAAAACGCTGTATACGAGCAATCTGTGGCATCGGGCCACTTGTTTCTTGCAAACCACTATTTAAAGAATTAGGTGTTCTTACTCTGCCATTCATGTACATTTTTAAGCTTTCAATATTCGTAAAAAAGTATCCTCATTTTTTTACTAAATTAAAATATACTGTGAAATATAGTACCGATACCCCGAAAAAATTATTCTGCCTTCATTAAAAACTAGTTTGTACTCAAAAAATTGTTATGTGATGGCTATTCAAGTGTTTAACAAAATCCCAAATGAAATAAAACAATTAGATTATAATGGGGTTGTTATAAATTAATTTGCTTAATTCCGCGTAAAGATAGAAAATGATGTGTCCTGCCCAGTTTTAAGGGGACCCTTCCTCTATTGCGCGCACTATACCCGTCGCCGTTAATCCCAGCTAATTAGCGGCCAGCCTCCGCAGTCTACGTCACCCGAGGATGCCTCGTGTAGAGGCGACACACGTGTAGTATTTTCGAGAGTGGTGTGTCGTGCCTAGTGTGCTGATGCTGGGGGTGGTAGTGCTAGGATTAACGGCGACGGGTACAGTGCGCGCGATAGAGGGAGAGTGGGAGGTCCCCTTAAAACTGGGCAGGACACATCAATTTCTTTCTTTACGCGGAATTAAGCAAATTAGTTAAGGCGCAGGTTGAGCAAAATGTCGCGCTAGTCGTTATTTGTGCGGTTTTTAGGAGCTATCTATTTTTTATTTAAAAGATATATCAACAAATAAAAACACATTATATTTCTACATAATCTTGATTCCATGAAAGCTATATCCAATTTTTTTTTTAAAGGAATAAATATTAATATAGTCTCCTTACAACGAAACCACATAAATGTGAAATTATTATTGATAACATGCATCTCCTCGTAAAGTAAGTATTATTTTATTTTGCGATTTACACCAATGGATAGGCAATTTATTAATGAACATTTCTATAGTAAAATTTTTTTCAAAAGACCAAAATTTGATTTTATTAAGAAATTATTTTAAAATCTGGGCGTATTCACTGCTCACGGGCTTGCTGGAGTCAGTGAGCCCTGAGCTCTTACACGTGGAACCCGTGTCGTTAGAGCGTCTGCCAGCGCACACGTTCACGTCATCTTATCAGTCGATAATATTATAATATTATTACTTATTAGGTTATTTATAGGTAGTATTATTTGTTTGTTTTGGGTATAATTTTTCGTATTAGTTATACATATATTTGTTGTGTTTTTTACTGCGCGATGAAGCTTTTTGCATGTATTTTCTTTGAAGTAAATGCAAATAAAAAAATAAAGCACCATTAGCATGTAAGGTTCGAATCCATAATTAAAATTTCGACAACTATTATAATTTACACTATAAAAGGCTAATTCAATATTATCACCCAACCACAATATCTTATTAGGTATAGTACCGCCTCGTTGGTCTAGTGGTTGTAGTAGTGCGACTGCTGATCATGAGGTCTCGGGTTCGAATCCCGGGTCTGGCCAAAAAGTCAGTTATGAGGTTTTGGCCCGTTTTTGTTTTTATTTATTGCTTGTTTTTCTTCTTTTTCAAAAAATAATTGAGTACATAAGGTGTTCTATACGCCGAATGTCAGAGAGAAAAGCTAGTACATCTTTTGCTAAACTTTAAAATCTAAAACCAATTTTAAAACAGACGAATTAATCATAACTCCCTTTGCTATAAAATAAGTTATGATCTAATTAATGGTATTTATTCCAGTTTATGGCAGCCCTGATTTATATTACGTGGCTGAAATTAGGTACTTCTTATTAGGTACGTCAAACCAAATAACAGCCGGGCGGCTGACATTATGCATTCCATACATTTCTTATATTATCTAATTACAGCCCCATTAATTTCCACTAAAAGAAAATAAATAACTTGTAAATTCAAACAAAAATAACTGTATTACTATGTCTATAGTCATATTCATACAAATCAAAAAGCCTATATATGAGATAATGTAAAGTAAGCATAATTTTACCGGGATCATAACTTGTCAAATAATTAGGAAAATGATAGTTTTTCGTTGCGTAGTGATTTTAACACTGTTAGGTTTTTTTTTTTTTTTATAGGATAAGGGTGACAAACGAGCACACAGTCCACCTGATGGTAAGTGGTCGCTGTGGCCCATAGATATCTACATCTATCTTCGATTAAGAGTCAAAATGCAGATGCGTTGTCACCCGTGAGGACTAAGATGGAATGCCTCGTTTCCAGTAAAAAGGGTCTCCGGTTCTCTACACTCACCATACGAAACACAGCAGTGTTAAGCTGCTATTTTACGCTGGTATTCTGTGAGAGCGTGGTCCTTCCCCGGTCGAGCCGACCCATTCGTGCTACAACCATAATGTAGATGTAGCATGACTCTACCACGTATATGGTTTAAATGTTTTAAATGGTTTAAAACTGCGAGGTAATATTTGAATAAATATAGTTTCCTCTAGGTACAAAGAATTTTTTAGATGAAAATATTTGTAGTTAAGACTACTAGAAATCTTATTTATGGAGTAAAAAGGCGAAAAGACTGGAATTAGGGGCATGACTGGTATTAGGGGCTTCCACCCTAATTCGGTAAAAAGTATCTAAGTAGGTATTAATATACCTACTTTTTACTATAAACTAAAAATTTTTAAAACTAAATTAACTAAAAAAACTAAAGTGACCATTTATTTTTTAACTCAAAACAGGACATGGGTTTATTTATACTCTAAAAACTATAACTTTACACAATTAGTGTTCAATATAAAATTATATTCGGTATAGACGGTAATTATTAAATGCAACATATTTTTTTTAATTATTAATTACATTTGTCAGTGGATTAAATTTGCTTTAATAAAGTTGGTGATAATTTTAAATAAGAATAAAATTCTGCTTAAATTTTTTTATTGTTACCTTTGTTAACAACATCGCCTTTAGAACTGGAACCGTAAGTGTTTCTTTCAGACGTCCACAATTTATTCAAAATAAAAAAAAATACTCTTTCTACTGGAGCATTTGTACCAGGGAGACATAAAATATATTCGATTAAAAAAATTATGTTGAAGATTGTTGACTTTGAATACTTCCATCCAACGAGTTACGGGACAATTTTGTGTCCCGGAGCTTTGTTTGGGGACAATGGGACAGGTGACCGAGAAAAGGGACAGTCCCGTTCAAAACGGGACGTATGGTCACTTTAGCTATAACCCGGCGACGGCTCCGTGGCGCAGTGTCTTAGCAATCAGTTGCTGCGCTGGGAGCCGCGGGTTCGAATCCCGCACGGAACAAGTATTTGTATGGCCTACAAATAATTGTTCCGGGTCTGAATGTTTGTCCTTGTGCAATTTATGTTTGTAAACTGCCTCCACGACTCTCATTCTATATTACTCTCACTCTGCGAAACATCCTATTTATTTATTTATTCTTTATTGCACCAAATATTTGTACAAAAGGCGAGCTATCTATTTATTTACCTATAGTGTGTAGGTATCTTTTAAACTCACAATTTTCAATGCTTCATTTTTAATATATAATTAATTATAAAATTTCATAATTAGATAATATATGAGAATACATAATTCTAATATCATGCAACTAATATAGCGAATAAAAAAATTTAAATACATTTATCGTTGTACGCTGTGTGTATTTCCATAAAATAGTTTATTGATGTTGGAAAAATACTACGTTCTTACAGTAGGTGGCGCCTTACATATTTCTTACGCGATATTATATTGTAGCGAGTCGGCGCGGCACACCAAATGCTCAAGGTCGTTCGCATGGAGGAACCCCTTAATAACAACCCCATTATAATGGATTTCCGCAAAGTAACGCCTGATTCTATCAATTAATTAGATTATTATCGATTTAGACGTAATTTATTAAAGTGGCTTTTGGAAAAACAATTTTATTCTGTAAATGAACTGCTAAAAATAAAAGAACGTTTCTAGTGACTGTTAAAAACGCTTTTTCTTCTTTGCTCGTGTTTTAAATTGTTAATATCAAAATTGTAAACTGATGCACGTTTAATATTACTTAAATATATTGTATTTTCTAATCATAAGTTTTCATATACCAAAATTTGTGAAATATGTGATACTTTATTATTTCATACGAACATCTTTGTACCATATTTCTTATGAATAAATTTATTATTATAAAACCACACTCATCTTATTGTAAGAACACAAGTATCTTAAATAATTTACAACCAGCAACATGGTTTAAGGCACATATGTGTCCTTCTAGCATTAGACTTTTACAGGCTGTTAAAGGAACAAAGAAGAAAAATATGTGCGTGAGTGTGTGTCAAGAAGTTGAACAATCATTTGAAACATAGTATGTAGAGCTTCATCTATTTTCCTTTGTTGGTTCTAAGGTGGCAAAGAATAAACGTATTGCGGTGGTGTGGTGCGGTGTAGTAGGATGTAGTGCAGTGATGTGCAAACTAGTGTGGTGTAATGCGGTGCAGAGCAATGTAGTGTAGAGTGGTGGGGTACAGAGTAGTGTATTTCGGCGCAGAGCAATGTACTGTGGTGCAAAGTAGTGTAGTGCATACTAGTGTAGTGTAGCGCGATGTAGTGTAGTGTAGTGTGGTGAGAATAGTGTGGTGCAGGTAACAGAGTATTGTACTATAATGCGGTACAGAGTAGTGTAATGTAGTGCGGTGCAGATCAGTGCGGTGTAGAGTAGTGCGGTGCAGAAGAGTATAGTGTAGTGCGGCGCATATTAGTCTAGTGTAGTGTAACGTAGTGCAATGCGGTACAGAGTAGTGTAGTGTGATGTGATGAGTGCTGTACCTCGTCGAGGATGTCCTTGTTGCGCTGCAGCAGTTCGGGCAGCTCGGCCATGAGAGCCTGAAGCGCGGGCAGCCCGCCCGCCGCGCGCACTGCTGCCGCCTTCTCGCGGATGGACTCCGGCAGCGAACCTTCCGCTCCAGATGCACTCTCCAGGCATGCCGGCAGGTTCAGTGACGCCAGTATACTGCACAACGCAACCACTTTGCTATAACGCTTGTATACAGTAGTGGCACTCTCAAAAACTATCAGGCTTCCTCTTGCATCATAAGAGGCGACTACCAAAGCGCTAGAAAGATTTTATAGCTGATTATTTGTCCAAAATCCTAATCCTGGATGTGACAGTTCTTTTAAGCAATTCCAATAACAATAATTGATTTCTGAAACCTATTAGAAAATGTATTATATTAAATAGGAAGGATAAAAGTCAAAGATTTTACAGTTACATATTGTAAAAAAAAATATTCAAATTTGAAAGGGTCGTGGGTGAATTTTCTCGTATCTCTAGGATCAGAGGCAAATAACCAAATCGTTCTTTATATTACTTTACGCGTTTAGACCAGTGAACATAGCTCCTTGTGTAATATTCCTTCTAACCCTTTTGTCCATTTCTTTAGAACTAGTCTTTAGAACGCGCGTTTAACAAAACTGTGTGATTTTCATATACTCGGAAGTTTCCCGTACTGAATCACGTGCGATTAGCTTTTACACGACGCTCTTTCCTCTTTGAATAAAACTACTGGAGTAATATCATGCGAAAGAGTCACCAGATATAAAAATGAATAAAATAATCACTCACGATTGCGTGTGCACACTTTCCCGTGTTCATACGCGCACACGCCGATCGCGAGTGAAAGAATATGTAATGTAAAGGCAGCTATTGCAAAATACGATTTCTGCTTAACCGTTAAACTCCACCACGTGGAAGTATATACACAGACAATATTCAAATTGTTTGTCTATGGTAATTACGAAAAATTGTTCCTACATTAAGAAAGGTCCATGTTTTCAGACTTGACAGCAGCATCTTCCTGAAAACAACTCAATATAAAACGGCGGACTGTCAAGCGTGGCAGTTGTGACAAAGTCCCCTCTCTAAGGCAATCTATGGGAGAAGGCTGTGTTTAGCAGTGGACTTTTATAGGCTGTAATGGATGGATAAATCACGCATGAAATTGAACTAAGAAGAAATATCTCCACGGGAAAGGTCTCTCTCTGCTTAGCTGTGCCACTGTTAGATAATGTCAACGAGTGTGAACCTGTTGAGAAGTTGTGTGCCCTCGCGCAGCTTGTTGATCTCTGCGGTGATCATCTCTGAGCGGCGTGCAGCACTCGCCTGCAGCGCCTGGTGCACCGCCATGGGCACCAGTTTCGCGAACAGATCTACACATGCATAGTATACTTACTTAATTAATACAATCAGGCTTTAGTTAGCGGAAATATTACAGATGTATAAATTAATATGGATATAAAATAGTGTGTCCCTCGGTAAAGTGCAACCCCGAAAGGGGGTGACACTAGACCAATAAATTATCGACAAAAAATGTATATGTGTGTGTGCGGTGTGCACCTGTGTGCGCCTGTGCCCAGCGCTGCTGCGGCGGCAGCGGCTTGGCGACGGGCGCGCGCTGCACGGGCTCCAGCTGGCGCGGCTCGTGCAGTATACATAGACTGCTATGTGTATGTGTGTGCGGTGTGCACCTGTGTGCGCCTGTGCCCAGCGCTGCTGCGGCGGCAGCGGCTTGGCGACGGGCGCGCGCTGCACGGGCTGCAGCTGGCGCGGCTCGTGCAGTATACATAGACTGCTATGTGTATGTGTGTGCGGTGTGCACCTGTGTGCGCCTGTGCCCAGCGCTGCTGCGGCGGCAGCGGCTTGGCGACGGGCGCGCGCTGCACGGGCTGCAGCTGGCGCGGCTCGTGCAGTATACATAGACTGCTATGTGTATGTGTGTGCGGTGTGCACCTGTGTGCGCCTGTGCCCAGCGCTGCTGCGGCGGCAGCGGCTTGGCGACGGGCGCGCGCTGCACGGGCTGCAGCTGGCGCGGCTCGTGCAGTATACATAGACTGCTATGTGTATGTGTGTGCGGTGTGCACCTGTGTGCGCCTGTGCCCAGCGCTGCTGCGGCGGCAGCGGCTTGGCGACGGGCGCGCGCTGCACGGGCTCCAGCTGGCGCGGCTCGGGCACGCGCTCGTGGTAGATGAAGTCGTTGTCGCGGCGCGCGCTCGCCAGCTGCTTTGCCGCGCGAACGCCAGCCTCCTGCAGCACACCTCCACCTGTCGCACCCTTCAGCAGCTCCGCCGCTATCTGCAGACACCACGCGATACATCACCTTGCTTCGAATAAGTGGTCAACGATACGTGTTACACATTATTTCATCAGTCTGATCAAACTTTAACTGACACCAGAATGATACAAAAATATTACACGTTCAGTTTTCCTCTGTATTCTTAAGTCTGTGGCGGCGCTGTCGTCGCGCCACAAGCGAAACACATCGAAGCCTAAATCGCGGTAACAAAGTTCCGAAGTTAGAGCAGTATATATAGAATAGCTCCGAATTACCACTCGGAGCGTTGGACTCCCCGGGCAGAACACCTAGCTCGGCGGAAGATCTCCTCTTTTCCTACCACCGGCTACAGTGGTGACCAGCCGACGTGATATGAACACGCAACCAACAACCTTCAGGAAACTACAACTTCAAACCTTCGTCATCATCCTGAAGTACCCCATTCATTCGCTCCCGAGCAGATATTGTCTGCAGTCTTTACATTCTGCAAGCCATCTAGCTTTACAAAGGTTCATCGCAGCATTGGAATAATAATGCTTCCTGTTCCCTCAAGCTACTCTCTGCGCTACAGTGTTCATGGCACGGCTCTGAGCCTTACTGCTCCGCTCTGCTTCACGGCACTCTCGCAGATTACTTGCCTTCTTCTCGACTCACCGCAGATTACAAGGCAATTCTCAGGCACTTGCTCCGGCTTATCGTTCTCACCGGCATCACTTGCAAGTACGTAGTATGGCATGCATTACACTCCGGCATATCGTTCGCACCGGCGTCACTTGCCCTTACGCACACAGCATGCATTCCCCACCGGCATTTAGGACGCACCGTTAATTAACGGACCGTTAATTAACGGTCAGCCACAGTAGTCTACATCACTTGAGGATGCCTCGTGTAGAGGCGAAACACGTGTCGTATTGGCGTCAGTGGTGTGTCTTGCTTAGTGTAGTGGTGTTGGGAGTAGCGGTGCTGGGATTAGTGGTGACGGGGATAATGCACGCAATTGAAGGAGGGCGACAGGTGCTCTTCATACTAGGTGAGACACATCATTATATTTTATAGCTCGGATGTTTGCGAAGTAACTTTTTAAAAGCTTTTATGGACCAAAACGTTATTTTGTTAACACCGTGACCGTCATTCCGGTTACAAAAAAGTCACAGTGAACAATCATCGTAACTTTGTCACGTTAATAACGTTGGATACCTATTTGGAACATTAGAACAACTTACAACGTGACTTTATTTATGCATTTTAGATTTATTAGGTTTTATTTCAGTAGTCATTTTTTATTACCTTCCTTACCTAAGCTACGTGGATATGTTATAAGTACCATTCTAATTTCACCTAACCTAGCCGATTAGTCGTTGTACCGTTAAGTATACGGTAACGGTGGTTTGTTTTGTTTGGTTAAATCAGTGACAGGAGCAACGGAGAACATAGTACGGTGGCGGCACGAAAAAACAACGTTATATTGGAACGTAGTTAGTCACCGTGACTTTTTCGGTGCTCACGATGACTTTTTCACCATGATATTATTTATCACTCATGTCTAGAGGCGACAGAGGCAAACAAATTACGAGATACATATAAATATACTCCCTATGAAGCAATATATGGGGGAAGCCTATGTTCAGCAGTGGACTAACAGGCTGTAACGGTAAGTGTTTGTTGTAATAATTATAAGAAAAACATATTAATCTCGGCGAAACGCGGATGCTCCGTGCGATGTTTAGAGCAGCGTTGCCGAGGTGGGTGATGTTCGCGGCAGTAAAATTTTGAGCTCCCCTTTATTTCCATGACCCATGGCCAGCAGTGGCAGGAAAATGTAAGGAGAGGTGAATAATCTTATTATATTCTATTTAGCAATAGAAAAATTTGTTCCATGGAGTACGATCAAAAGTGATAAATATCCCATTTGGTTTAGTCGAAGTCTGATTAACGTAATAAAGGAAAAAAATAAGGTTAGGTGTAGACACAAAAAATATAATAACGCAATGGATTTACTCAGCCTAAAGTTACTTAATAAGAGATGTGATAAATTAGCTAAGACCTGCTACAACGTTTATATAAAATCTATAGAAGATAATATTGTTACAAATTCAAAAGTTTTTTGGTCTTACATCAAAAATAAACGGCATGGCAATAGTAAGTATCCGAGTGCAATGTCTAATGGTAGTGTGATGACAACAGATGCGACTGATATATGCAATCATTTTGCCTCACATTTCTCCTCAGTATACACCGTAGACAATCCAAATGGTCTTAATGAAAATGATTCAAATAACCAATATTTAACATATTTAGATAATAATAATTATCATTTTGGCACTTTGGTTTTGGATGAAAAATCAGTTTTAAAAAAATTAAAGGGCTTAGACCGAAAAAAAGGACCTGGTCCAGACTCTATTTCACCTTATTTCATCGCTGAATGTGCCATAGAACTGTCTACTCCTCTTTGTTTTATATATAACAAATCCTTACAAACAGGATGCTTTCCAGATATATGGAAGCTCGCAAAAGTTGTCCCTATACATAAGGCGGATGATGATACTTTAGTTAGCAATTATAGACCGATCTCAATATTATCAACCTTTCCCAAAATATTTGAATCATTAGTATGTCCCTATATCCAAAATTATACAAAACAGTTTATTACAGATGATCAGCATGGATTTGTCAAATCTCGTTCGACTTGCTCTAATTTGGTTACGTTTGTTGAAACGTTGGTGAAAACTGTAGACATGCAACAGCAAATAGATGTAATATATACCGATTTCAGTAAGGCTTTCGACCGAGTATCACATGTTATGCTTTTAAGAAAGTTAGAAACTTATGGTTTTTCTGACCCTATCCTCGCGTGGTTAAGGTCTTATCTAAAAGGTCGAAATTATTATGTTGTTGTTAATGGATTCAGTTCTGACATATTTCCCATCACATCCGGAGTTCCCCAGGGATCACATTTGGGGCCAATTTTATTTAACATATTTGTTAACGATATTCCTAATTGTTTCTTACATTCCAATTGCTTTATGTATGCTGATGACTTAAAATTTTGTAAAATTGTTAATAAATCGTCAGATATGATACTTCTTCAGGAGGATTTAACTAGACTTTCTAAATGGTGTGATGTTTATGGAATGACTCTTAATCTAAAAAAATGTGCACATATTAAATTCACTCGCAAAAATAATATTTTCCCATCAGTTTATACCCTCAATGGTGTAGTTATCCAGGAAGTGGAAACAGTTAAGGACCTGGGTGTAGTATTTGATAAAAAGCTTACATTTATACCACAACTAGAAAATGTAATTAAAAGATCATCTCAAGCATTAGGTTTTGTTATAAGAAATAGTAAAGAATTCCGTAATGTTACCACAAAAAAACTTTTATACTTCTCAATTGTTAGAAGTATATTAGAATATTGTAGCACAGTCTGGCGTCCCCATTATTCTACCCATAACCTTCGCCTTGAGCGCGTACAAAAAAGATTTTTATGGCATCTTGCCTTTTCAACACGAAAAGCATATAAAAATGCATCATATGTAGATAGATTAAAGTCATTTAAAATGGTATCACTATCAAAACGCCGGGACATTCTGGATTTGCAACTTTTATATAAAATATTTAGAAATAACTTAGATTGCCCTTTATTACTACGTAAATTTAATTTTCGTATCCCAAGTAGATATCCTCGTAAAATCATTACTCCTCTTTCGCCGCCTCTTCGTAGAACTGTACTAGGATTTAATTCCCCAATATCCAGACTTTCCAGACTTTTAAATACCTATAATAATGTAGTAGATATTCACCACGACTCTTTTAATGATTTTCGGCACAAAATTTATCAAAATATTAATGATTCTTTGTAAAAAAAAAAAAATATTTTTTTTTGTATTAATTTTATAATTTTGTTTATTTTCTTTTATTTTAAGTTTGTATCGTATATTTTTAGCTATTTGGTAACGGCTTGTAGGAGATGCTGTGAACACTAAGCATGCGGTGTTCACCTATTATTGAATGTGCACTTAGTTTATATTACTATATTAGAATTAAGCATATATATCAGTGTAACATTTGTTGGTGAACCAAATAAATAAATAAAAAAAATAAATAAATAAAAATCTTATTATTTGAAAAAAAAATTTTTTTTTTTAAAAAGTCATCAAACAACATCAAACAATTTATTGAACACAAGTTGCATAAACAAGTTCAATGGTTAAAACAGTAATAAATAACAAAACCAAACAACTTTATGAATCGGAAAAAATTCAAATATATGTCATTTCCACAACTAAGGCAGATCTAACTACACCGCATATTTAAACAAAACTGGTTTTTACGGATTTTATCGCGTATATTAACTTATTTTATATTCCCGACGTTTTGAGCACTTTACAGCACCACATGGTCACGGGGAGAGGGGGGGGGGGGGGAACTGAGGTGTTCGACGTCCCAAAGTCATAGTTAACCAGACTACAAATCCTCGCTAAAAACACCGATCACTTCCAAGGATGATTCGCGATGCTATTGAAATCAAAAACACATCCTAATTTCTATTTTGTTTACAGAAGATGGCTGGGTGCTACCATCTGTTTGGGATCCTATAATTAATAAAATTAAATCCCAACCCAAGTATACAACCGCAAGACTTCACGATACTATAAGTTCATACTGCGTAGAACGAAACAAAATTTAATCTGGAGGTAGCCGTGGTTAACTATGACTTTGAGACGTCAAACGCCGCAATCCTCTCCCCCCCCCCCCCCCCCCTGTACCTATACTCTTTGGAGGGGTTTACAAATTTGTCATGATGTAATCCGATGTGTTTCACCGGTAATACACAGATTAAGCCATTTTAAAAGAGAAAACACGAATACCATAAATTGATAACTTTCCGAGTACGATATCATGAGGAACTCTATCGAACGCTTTATTGAAGCCTGTACAGATGACATCGATTTGTCTATTGGTGTTCATCTGTTCAATTAATTCCTCAGTGAAGAGGGCCATAGTACAACAAGTTGAT